ATGAGTGATTGAAACTTTGCTTTCCTGAAAAGTTATAGTATGCAACATATGCTTCAATTACATTAGGATTAAGTGCTCTAGAAAGTTTTACAGGGTGAAGTTCTTTGATGAATAAATGACCTCCAATCATTAGTTCAGCGTCCTTTACAAAATCAGTCATATTCTGTATGGTTTTCTGAACTTTGTAAATATGTATATGTATGCATGTGTAGTTCACAGAGATTACAGACATGTCTAAAATTTAAATTTTCCTTTAACAGAGTATGTAGTATAGCATACATTTGTATTAAATTTTCACTTAGTATTTTTTCTAAAGTGAGCAAGTCTGCCCATTTACATATCAGGGCTCATAAAATGACCTTAAGGTACTTTGAACTGAAAAAGACTGAGAGGGTTTCAGAAACAAGATTCTCTGACCCTTCTCAAGATTTGTACTTGAAACATGATCATGAAGGAGTTTTCTCATTTATTTTGCTTAAAAATAGGTCAAAAGACCTTTATTCCAGAGGGTTCTGTCCCATCCCTGGGAGGAAGGTTACACAGAAAGGCCCAGAAGAATGTCAAACAAGTCTTGTGGAGTTCACCCCCAACTTGCTGCCATTTGGTCCTACCCTTTTTATCCAGTCATACGTCAACGTGACTGTCTGCTCTTTAATGCACCTGTGAATAAAAATGCTCAGCTTTCCACGGATCTTTAGGTCTTCATTTCTGAAGCCTCCAATGTCATGCAAAATTCCGTTAAATAAATTTGACATTTTTTTTATTACTAGCTTATAAATTGGCTATGGCTCTTGTGTTGATTGTGGAAAAAATACTTTTCATCTGTACATTGGTTTCAGTACCTTCATTCTGGAGTGAAGGGGTCAACATACATTACATCAAAGAGCACTTCCAAATCACAAAGTTTTGTTATTTCTTAGAAAACTAACCTGGAATTGGGACTCTAGATTGATTTCATTAAATGCCTTATTCTGGTGAATTGACTTTCAAAGTTTACTGGCTGGCTATATTACCAGGACCCGCAAAAGGCACACAGATTTTCTCCCAGTTCAGTTGAAAAGATCCTCTGAAGTAAGACTTCACATGACTGTATATTTCTGGGGCCAGGAGACATGGGACTGGTCCCTGGGCCCTAAGGAGTCATTTTACAATGTCCTGACGTGACATTCTGTGCAGATAGCCCGGGCCTGCCCTGTGTTTCACAATTTTTGCTTGTTTCAGTCCGCTCCATCTACGAACAATTTTGTTAGCTTGCTTTTCTCTTCCATTTTCTTTCTGGCATCAGAATTTGCTCACTTGAAGGTAATAGATGTGGTCTTCCTTCCTGTCTTTTGGCTCTGACTAGCAATACCCCTAAGGGTTCCTTGAAAGAAAAATAACATGCCATTTGGGCCATGTTTGTTTTGCATCTGGTCCACCAGCAGCTGGCACTGCCCCAATCCTGCAATGTGGGTTTGGAGTCAAAGGCATGAAAAACAGCCCATAAGAATTTCAAAGACTCATAAAGTTTGTAAACTAATGATCTAGGCCTTTCATTTTCTTTGGAAAGGTGGCAATTCAATGTTGCATAGAGCCAAGAGGAGTTTTAAGACTCAAGAAAAATGCTTTTATTTAACCTTTCATTCTTTGAAATGCTAGGCAACTTGTCTCTTTCCAATAAAAAAAAAAAAAACAACAAAAGACCTGTGTTGGATGAAATGGCCTCCTGGTGGGCAAAAGCCAGACAATCTGATCAATAGTAGGAGGCAATGGCAGATGGCAATTGCTGCTGAGAGAGAGGGGACCAGGTGAGGGTAGAGCCAGGAAGACAGAAGAGAAACAACTACAGGGAGTGGTTAAAAGCCATTTCCCATGCAATTCATGGAAGAGCCAGAGGCACTAGGAACCCAAAAGACAGGTTTAGATTGAGAATTTTGTAAAACAAACAAAGAAGTTCCAGGCAGACCCAAACACTGGAACAGACTGTCTGATGAACCGCGGCCTGTCCCCAAATGTCTCACCCTGTTGTTTTGGTATTTAAAATGTCTACTGTAGCCAGGTGTGGTGGCACATGACTGTAAGCCCAGCACTGGGGAGGCTGAGGCAAGAGGATCCTCACGAGTTCTTCAAGGTCAGCCTGAGCTATATAGTGAGCTCAAGACTACATGTGAGACCCTGTCTCAGAAAAATAAAAGAAGAAAGAAAGAAAGAGAGAGAGAGAGAGA